GAAGGGAGCCCTGATCGCCCTCTACAACTGCCTGAGAGGAGGCTGCAGTGAGGTGGGGGTCGGCCTCTTCTCCCTGGGAACAGACGATAGGACGAGGGGGAATGGTTTGAAGCTGCGCCAGGGCAGGGTTAGGCTAGACATTAGGAAAAACTTCTTCACAGAAAGGGTTGTCAGGCTCTGCAATGGGCTGCCCAGGGAGGTGGTAGAGTCCTCATCCCTGGAGGTATTTAAAAGAAGGATAGATGAGGTGCTTATGGACATGGTTTAGTGGTGGGATGGCAGGGTTAGGTTAAAGGTTGGACTTGATGATCTTAAAGGTCTTTTCCAACCAAAGTGATTCTATGATTCTATGAAGGAGCGTGGGGAGAGAAAAAATGCCAGTGTAGAGCTGAGCTGTGTGAGTGTGCAGGGTACGGGCAGCCAGCACTCACAGTGCAGAGCCAGGTGACACGGTGAAGGATGCAAGACACCAAAGAGACAGAAGATAAGGGCCTGGTCTGTGCCATGTTCCCTAGACAACCTGGGGAAGCTGCCCCAGCAAAATTTTCCCATATCAGTCCCACACAGCAGCCATTTCCATCTCTGGCCAGACACCCCAGCCCTGAGGAGGGACTTTTGCTGCAATTATAAACCCTGTCCTCCTCTGGGGCTCACTGATACCCAAGTCCACTGCCATAATTAATAAAAAGAGAACCACTTTCCTACTGAAAACTATTGCAAATCAAGCCAGTAGTTCTTGCCACAGTTGGTCTCTCATCCAAGTCCATTCTCAGACAGCTCCCGCTCAGTCAGATGCTCATAGCCTTGCCATGACAACTATTGAAATTTTCCATTCCCTGAGATCCTAAATCAGAGTATTTGTTTACATTCTGTTTACAGCCTAAAGCACCCCATGCTCTGCAGAGATGTCATTTCCTTACCTCTGGCTGGAAACTTCTTTATTCCAACATCTGACTATTGTCTATTAGTCTCCTGCCAAGCAGTACGGTGACAAGACTGGTTTCATCTTCCTGAACCCCACACCCCCATAGGAACTGGCAGGTCACCAGGAGGGTCCCAAGGCCTTCCCTCCTGCAGGTTGAGCAAGGCCCTTCTCTGCAGTTTCTCGTCCCAGGCAAGTGCTCCAGCCCGAGCATCTCAACGACTTGACCTCTACTGAACTCGCTGCCAGTTATCAACACCTTCCTTGCTGTGGCAGTTATCCTGGTCAACGGCCCAGCACCCCACAGGCCCTCACTCCCTCCACCCCTTCTGAAGTGGGGGCGCAAAAATGGTCACAGCAGTGTTCAGGGGGTATAACAAGTGATGAGCAGGGGAAGACAATCACTGCCCTCACTCCTTTGGTGAGACTCCAGGACACTGCTGGCTGCCTTTGCTACCAGGTCACTCTGCTGGATCAGGCTTTGCCTTCTGTCCCCCAGCACCACCAGGGCCTTTTCCACAGAGCTACTCCCCAGCCAGGCAGTCCCCAGGCCCTGCCACTGCAGGGGGTTAGGCTATCCCAGGCACAGGATAGACAGGAAGA